GGCTCGGTTTGAGTTAGTTTTTTGATGCTTTTTTGATGCCATTAGGGTTATTATTTATAAAAATATCAAGAATGCAATTTATGCAATTTGCAGATCATTATGTAAACGAACCTGGCTTTAACAGACCTATTATGATCATGATTATTGTCTTACATGAAAACGCGTAAATATAATATAGACGCGTACGGACAGGAAAGAAATGATGTTGAAAACTTTTGTTTCTAATAATCTTGTTTGGTTCCATCAGGAAGTGTATCTAAAAGTTTATATAAATATATAAAACTTTTACTGTATAGACTTACAAACATATATAATAATTATTAATAGTTATATAATATTTATATATATAATTTAAATAATATAGATTTTATTTAGATCTATATAAATTTATATAAATCTAATTTATTATTATTTTTTGGTTATTTTCTCAAAAACAGCTAACTGTTTATCAGATATACTAAGTAAAAATGCTTAGCATACAAAAAAACATTTATTTGTACTAACATTTATTTCAAAAAACTCAAAAATTTGAAAAAAGTTTTTATAGTTATATAGAAATTCTACATTACAAAATGACTGTGATGACAGTCACATGTTTAATCGGAAGAACGAAGTATGAGTAATTTGAAGCACAGTAATTCGAACATAACATAGTCTTTTCTGTGAATCCGACTTTCGTTTTGGTTATATCGATCCATCTCACCCTGCCAAATACTAGTGATATTTGATTAGAATGGCCTGTCGGGACGACAGCCGCAAGGAAAGTAAGATCTGATGGGTTGGGAAGGCACAGGGCCATATGGGGAATAGACTAGGAAAACCCCTATCTGAAAGTAAGTATCAGACGGTGATTTTCCTAGTTCATTCCCCATATAGATTGGGAAAGTGGCCGTCGGGATGACAGTGGTGTTATGAATCGGAAAAAAAAATGTAATCGATTAGTTGGTTGAATATATATATTTTTTTAATAATCGATTAATCGATTAGCTTGTTAGTTGATTAATTTATTAGTTAAAAAAAAAAATTAGCTAAAATTAATATAAGGCCATGCAAAATTAATTAATTGGTTTTCATAACCCGGCCGGGTCAAAATTTGAAATCTTGTAAAAAAAATTTTTTATATGTTTAAATAACCGGGTAGGCTTTTAAAAAATTTTATAAAATTTTTATATATGAAATTTAAAAAAAAAAACCGGCCGGCCGGGTCTGTTTAAAAGTTTCATGTTATGAAAACCAAGATATTAAATTTGTGCGGCCTCTAATTTAACAACAATACTGAATATAAGTAATAAAAATTTTATTAAAAAACTTAAATCGATTAATTGATTAGTCGATTAATCTTTTTTTTTCTTGATCTGCAAAATTTACAAAATTTTGCAAACCGCAATAATCAATTATATAGTTGCCAACTCAACAATTAATCGATTTCGATTCATATCAGTCGCATTTAAAAATGCGTTAGTAGTGAGCGATGGCAACTGTTAAGAGAACCATGAGAAAAGTTTAAACTACATTGCACATTTGGCTTGAAAAGGGCAGCGTAGATTACCCGATAACAGAAGGGCAATACCTACATATGTTCTTCATAGTAACAAGATATGCAAAATGAGAGTAAAACAAATGTTATTAATGTCACGACTATAATGGCGGTCTGTCTGATGTTATTATTTTAGTCGACGGAAGTAATAGAAGTAATGCCTGACTGAATTTATAGTAATCCTTTGAAATTAGACTGTCTTGTATTGCGTACGGGCCAAATCCCGACAGGTCATGACAGTTAAAATTGAAAATTCTAATCCGTACTATACTATCATACAACCAAAATTTGTGATAGACATGATTATTTGATTAAAGTTCGGGATGTATTTTATAGTAAAATTACCCAACATTTTTTATTAATGCCCAAAGATAGGTTTAAACAATTGTTTCTCGTATTTTTTTCTCTTCAATGTCGATCAAAATATACAACTTATTGACTTTATATTATGTGATTGGACACGACCCCACTATTTGGGATGCTAAAATTCTGACTGTCCGGATTTTTGACTGTCGAGATTTTTGATTGTCAGGATTTTTTTGTCGGATTATGACCTGTCGGGATTCTGACCCAACCCCTTTGTATTCTTGTACGCATTAAATAGCAAGTAATTTCAATCATTTAACTGAAGTAGCAACAGACAGAAGGTATCTCCAGTCACTATATTAACACCCAAAACCGCTATATCTTAACAGGTAGCCATGTAATTAGTGATCGATTGCTCTAAAACTTTCAATCCTTAAAACTTTGTAACTTTAATCCTAAATTTTAATACAAATGTAGAATTAACACTGCTGGTGTGACTTAATACTAAATAATGATAATGCAAGTCAAAAACGAAATTAACTTTGACTAAACATAAGATGTTCCTCACCGGACATTATAAACCACTGTATCAAGATTTTTTTTAATTTTATTGATATTGATGTACGTCAGCTAATAAATTGCAATATTAGAATTACTATCCAAAACCCTAACTTTAAATATTCATTATATAAATTCTAAATTTATAAAATACATCTCAGCAATTGGTTTACAATTAGTTTTTGGAAAGTTTGGGTCAAGGACTTTAATTGTATATATGCTAAAAAATATGATATAAAGAACAAGCTTATAATACATATAAACTCAATGGTTTTTTCATAATTCTCCAATGAAAAATAAATTATTAAAAGTGCCTATTCAAAATTATGTAACCCTTTACTCTCTTAAATTCATTTAGCCCACTACTTTATAATGACTTGGTGGAGCGCATCTCCTTCTTAGAATTTTAACAATATACAATGGAATACTACTAACTGCTGTTATAACCGCTACTTTCCAAACAAAAACCCATGTTAAAATAAACGATAAATCTATTTTTAAGCAAATAAAAATACGTTAGATTGTGCAATAACGAATTTATATTTAATAAGTAAAATCTCTTACCAAAATAGGTCGGTAAGAATGCCATAGAAACAATATATATGGCAAATGTTATAATTTCTGATAAAATCATAAGATAATGCCTTTACATGCAAATAGTAATTTTTTGTTGTTAAGTATACATAAAATAATAAATATAGTATTCAAAACAAAATGATTGATTTATACCATGTATTGATTTCCAGTGCAACCATCAACAACTCATTGAAAATCAATGCAGTAAATGAAATGGAGACAATATTCACAAATTCATCCTCAAATAATAGAATTGACATGATCATTATGGCACCACCTATACATATTTATAATTTTGGTTGAATATATATGAAAATAGAATAACAAATAAGTTATAACTTGTTATACCTTGGTAAACGCTAATCATTAACCATTGAAAGAAGGTCTTCAGAGATAAGGAGCGTCCCTAAAAATATTATAATAATATTTAATGTTTCCATATTAACTGATTAAAATTAATAGATAAGTTAATATATACCTTGGTCAGTTCTTTATATAATTCAGGAAATTTAAATGCTGTCTCTTCTTTCACATCCCTATCCAGTACCAGAGAGAATACAGGTGCCATTGTGTAAACAGTAGAATATCCCACAATTAACAATCCCTATTTTCAAATAAATATAAATTAATTATAGATTACATTATATAAATTATGAAATTTATTGCAATTCATGATTTTTTACTTGATAAAGTGCAATTGGTGCAAAAAAGAATAGTGCAGAAAATACTGCTTGTATAACTGATATTATTAACCCACGATGAATAACAAACTGAGATAGTTTGGCAGATCGTTTATAGCTGTTTCTACCATGCCATACTATATTAAAAAGATTGTGTTAAAGATTCATGGAGGTAAAAGATATATATACGTAATTTAAAAAAAGTAAACCCATACATACATAGCAATTTAGTCAAGTAACTAAATTGTGTTATGGAAAAATCTGCCGCCAATGAAGCTTGCCTTCCTTCTTTTCCAACTATTCCAACTCCTATAATTTTTATGTACAATTTAATAAGCATAAATATATAGATGTAATAAAAATAATGGCTTTATAAAACTTACCAACATGAGCTGCTTGAATCATACTAACGTCATTACCACCATCTCCTATGCAGCATACTCTCTTCCCCGTGAAATCAATAATGAGTTTCGTAATATCAGCCTATACAAAAGACCATATAAATAAATATTCTTAAAATAGAAATAACCTTTTTTATAAGCTTTTGTTACCTTTTGAGTAGGTGAACATCGACAAGCTACAACAACCGGTAAGCGTACAGCTATTTCGATGAATTCATTTTTATAATGTTCCATATAAAACTATAATATCTTGTAATTAATAAAATAAATATCATTATGCGCAGTATGCACTATATATAGTTTATACCTGAATTGAAACCCCATCAATCACTAGACAAGTATCTTTTTTGCTTTGCAGGATTTCTAATTGCTCCAAAGCTTCATGTGGAGAGGTCACTTGGATTTAAAACAATTATAATAAATGAAAAATTATGAAGTCTCAAAACTAACACAAATATTAAACTAACAGATTTAATTTAACCTACCTCGTGATACTTGATGTATACTTTGGTTTCGCGATACCAGCTTTGATGAAACGGCAATGCATGTAGCTGTCTCAATTTTATCTCCTAAAGTTAATAATAATTATTAAATACCAAAAATGAATAAATGTATTGTTTGAATTTTTATAGAATATTCACTGACCCGTTAACATCCAAATTTTTAACCCTGCATTTCTCAAAAGTTCTAACGTATTTTTTACTTCATCTTGAAGTTTATCTTCTACACCAGTTACACCCAAAAGTTCTAAATCTTGTTCTAAAAGTGAAATAACTACTGATTGTTCTTGAGCTTTACGATCAGTTATGCTCACTTTTGCTTCATTAAACCTATAAAATGAAATAATTTAATACAATAGAAAATTTTATATAAATCTTATCTAAATGACATTACATACCTGTCTTGAAACTCAGTATATGTATCCTCAGATAACCTCCTACGTGCAATAACCAATGTTCTCAACCCTTCTCTAGCCATATTGTCACATTCTTCATCCAACCAATCATTATATTGTACAATTTTACTCATCACAACATCTGCACCCTTTTGATAAAACATTATTTCCCCAGTAACTTTATCTTTCACTATAATACCCATTCTTTTAGACTCACTTGTAAATGGGAATGTCTGAAGGATTGAGTATTCTAGAATGTCACCATTCGCTGTACGAAGGTGTATTTCATTCATATCTCGAAAAACCAGAGTGAGTCCAACTTGTTCAGTCCAACTAACAATAGCAATTTCATCTGGAGAAGACGCTTGGTATGCAATGGCATCACTATCTGCATCAATAACAGGTGTAACCTAAAATATAAAAACATTGAATTTATAAATGAAATTAGTATTACTATCTATTTGTATAATCCAATCTGCACGCTACGCATTACAGCCTTACATTATGACATAACGCAAGAGCTAATACAATATCCCTAACTCTAGAGGACATGTCTCTGCGGCCTTTTCCAGTCATAGTTGTAGAAGGACCAGATGCTACAGGTTATAAGATTAAAATAGGATTAAACAAATGTAAATATAATCAATTAAAGAAATTAACATTACCTTTTGCTTTTCCGAACGCAGCTGCGAGTTGAGTCGCAACTTCATCCATTGATTCAATATTGTATGCCATTGTTCCCATGTGAAGTTTCTTAAGTTCCATATCTATGATCGAAATAAAAATTAATTTGAATACAAAATTATGAAAATTGTTTATTTAAATGATTTGTGATTACCATTTTTTGTTAGAGTGCCGGTTTTATCAGATAAAAGATATTCGATTCGACCCAATTCTTCAGGTATCGTACTACTACGAACGATTGTGTTTGGTATTTCTTTATCGTTCATCATTTGAAATGCATAAACAGATTTACCCATATCTAAATTAACACGCAAACTGAAAGAGAATAGTGATATTAATTCACATGAAATAATTAAATACAATATCCTATCACAAATAAGCACCATTTTTTCGCTTACTTACTATGTTAAATTTATATGTTTAATAAAACTGCTTCACTAGATTTTGCTAAACTGAGGGTAGTGTTTATTCACAAGGGGTGCTTATACGCGGTAGGATAATGAAAAGAAATTAGAAAACTTACCCAATTGGAATAATAGATGAAAATATGATCAAAAACCGGAATAAATAGATATACCAGAGACCACGAAAACCATTTAACGCGATCAACATTATAGACAACACCAAAGTCACGATAAAAAGAATCTACCACCCACAACATATGAAGTATATTTTGTTTTGTTAACAATAATGCAACATACTGAATTTTGATAAATATTATGTTTGAAATCATTCAAACTTTAATGACCTTAGAAAGATTATTAATTTCTAGATCCAATAATCCAGTCTTAGTTTCTGGATGACTGGTATTCATTACTGCTCGCGTATCTTTGCCAGTATATATCACAAATCCGATAGCAGTACCTGATGCAAGTACTGTATTCATCCATAAAGTGTTTTCCACATTAAGCGGTTCAGTTTGAGGTGTCTAGTAATGAAAATTTGCCAATAAATTTCGGAATAATCTAAATTTAAGGCCATACAAAGTGAATTCATTGGTTCTTATAATCTTGCCAAGTCAGTTTCATAAACTATCGAAAACCAATTTTATGCTATATAATTTCAGGTGAAGATTTCTATAAATATATATATCTAAAGTATTCACCTACCTTAAGTTACTACTTTAGATATATGAAGTTGCATCTAACTAAAATTAAACCTCTTCATGCATGCACTGAATAGTAATTTTAGCCAAGTGATATCAAAAATAGTAACTCTAGATAAGTAACTATTTGCAGATACAATATATATATCTATATCTATATATATAGATAATATACTTCTTAAACAAATCATAAAATTTTTATATATAATAAATGAAGTTGCCATATTTATGAACCAAGAAATTTAATTCTGTATGGCCTAATAGATAATTTATTATTTTCAAACTTACTACATTGTTAGGTATTTGTCTCAAAAAATTACCAATAAAATTGTGAATGTCTTTTGATGGAGCATCAGCTAACACAAGAAATTGTCAATAATGTATTAATAATGACTATACACTTATTAAAACACATACCATATATCTCAGCGTCGATTGATAATAAGTTTGAATCAGTATGCAACTTTTGGCAATATGGAACAGCAAGTCTGATGAAATATAAATAATAAATTACATAAACATCATTACTCAATGATACCAAATTATAAGTGAATTTCTGCAATAACATACCTCAGTTTCCAGTCAGTTTCACCATCTAATTGGTCTGTCCTAATGAAACAAGCGCCGCTCGTTTCAGTTGTACGAAGTAATATTAAATCAGCGGGAACCTATAACATAGTTGATCCAAGTTAAACATACGAACAATAATAACAATTAAAATGTAATTATAGTACACACTCTTTGATCTTTGTGAATTATAACCAAGTCGCCGACTCGAAGCTTCGAGCTTGGAACATTTTTGAAGCCGTCCCTTGTTAATATCTGATATTTTTGAGAATTATTTTCCTGGTCTCTTTTATATCGTTTCCAATCATCATATGCCTCCTTTCCCATTGTAACAAGAATAACAAAACATAGTGGTCCAAAATATGTAATGATGTAACCTAAATAAATGATAAATCTAATATTTATTGAAACATCATGCTATTGTTAAGAAAATTATCTAAATTCACTTGCCAATTTTCAAAGGAGGAATAAATTGAGATAGTGCCACCAAGAGAAAGTATAAATTGATAAATATATGAAACTTTAAGATAATAAAAATGACATAAGTATAAAATCATAATTCGATATCTGAATAATTAAAATTCAAAAGTATTGCTTACTTGTTCATAAAATACCAACGGGAAAAAGGTTATTAAATTGTATTTTTGGTTACGGACAACATTGGGAGGATATTTTTTCTTTATTTTATCTACGATATAAAATAAAGTTATTTTACAAAAATTACATATGCAAAAAAAATATATATTTAAATTTAAATTACTTGAGACATGAAATGAAATTGTCCTTGATTTTGCATTTGGAGCTCTCATATTTGAGAGCGGAACATCAGATGAAGATGATAGTAAGTTACGACCTCGATATCTTGATGATGAGGAGGAGCTTTCCTGAGGAAAATATTATAAACAAAATATTTTAATTAGAAAAATGAACAAGTTTACAATTGTTGTCAGATATAAAAAAAGTTGGCAAAGATTAGAAAGTCTTCTACTCTTTATCAAATCCGGGTATTTTTAAGGGCAATCTACGTAAAGGGATATTGAGAGCAATCAAAAACTAGTAATCGAGAATATTATCCTATAAAAGTTTTTGTCTAATAATAAAAAAAAAAAAAAGTTATTAATTTTTGTTAAACAAACCTCTGTCCAATCCTCTTGAATAATTAATGGTATTTCGTCATCGTCACAATCAGAACTCCTTTTTTTTTGTCGGTTGTCCGAAAAGGGGATAATTGTTTTTAAAGCGATTGAAGGCTCCCTCACCATTTTTACAAAAAGCAGTCATGACCTGTTTAAAGATACAAATTTGTAGTACCTAGGCACCGAAAGTAGTCCGGGAGGAAGGAATGATTAACGTTAAATTTTCATTCTTAAATAATATTTATATTGCGCCGCATGCAAAGCCATGTGACAAGATCATCCGTAATACCTAATAAAGAGTGACAATCAGCACCTTAACCAGATTCTAGTTTCTTTCGAAGCAAGCAACCGTTTCTAAGCCTCAGAAACTTTACACATTTTGCTTAGCTGAGTTATTAGAAATTCGATTTGATTAGGTATAGCCGCGATAATGTCCTCGGGTATGTCCCTTAGATTTTAATATCCGGATCAAGCTTGACAATGTATTATTTGACTTGACTCCTTCGTGTCATATCACGGACATTTACACGTTATTACGGTAACTATTAAATTACTATTATTTTTAACTTTACAGTATATACAGTGAATTACATATGAATATATATAATATATTTATAAAAATATTATTTATTATATCGATATATTAAATCCTAAGCCATTAATTGCTTTTCACCATATCAACAAATCAACGTGCGTACGTACGTACGTACGTAAACCACAATTTGCGGATTTTTCAATGGATTTTTCCATGAAAGAACCCCTTTTGGCTTATTAAAATTTAAAAATCACCCTATATTAAGCCATCCTATAAGTCTATCAGTTCATAACAGTGCCTATAATATCCTTGGTAATGCACCCCATAGTACAGCATGGGCGGTCAATATTTTGAAGCACCCCATAAATTATTGTGGCCCATCGGATACGTACAGTACGTACGTACGTACGTACAGTTGCCTCACAAAGTATAACACGGTTACATAAAAAAACATAACAAAAATTTATGCAAAAAAGCATACGTAATAATTTATGCCGTATAATCATTATGTACGTATTAATGTAATCTTATAGCACAATATACGTATTACCGTCGTTGATTTACATAAATTTTTGTTATGTTTTTTTTATGTTTTTGTGTAACCGTGTTATACTTTGTACGTACAGTACGTACGTACCATATGCGCAGATTTATAATCGGAACTTATGTAGGTTACGAAAATTAAAAAAAAAAATTAAAATAAAATAAAAAATAACGATCCAAGGATGTTATGCTGCAAGGGGTTTGCACTCTTATACATTTTAAAAATTATTGTTGCACCCGGTGTTAAGGTTTTTACTCCACCAAAATTGTTGTGCTTCGAGTGTGCCTCGGGGATCATATTTCTTGAGTTATTTTTTTCTTTAACCTGGTCCTGCAGAAAAGGTTTTATCCCCGAGCCTAGTTTCTGTGGTTCAACTATAGTGCTCTATACAGGAGCACTAGGCAGGTTTTACCTACTTCTTGCTTAAATTTTTGAGCTGTTGTAAAATTTTTTACAGGATTACTTAGTATTCATCAATTCTTGCTAAGAGTCTGTTCTCTTCTGGAATTGGCAGTCTCCGTAGATTTCTGGCTTTTCCTGCTACTATCATTATTTTAGTAATTTATATTATCTTCTGAAGTTGACTCGTGGGTGTGTTTTCTTTGCCTTAGTACTTTCTGTTCTTTAATATTATTTCTATTGCTAAAAGTTGTCTTAGCTTTCTTTTCTTTTAAAATTACCTTTCTTTAAAATTTCTCTGCTCTGGTTTTTTGTGATCAGTACAAGACTAGATTGTTGTATTTAACTAGCCTTTTTGTTATATTATGTATTTTTTGTTTATTGGCAAACAGTGTTGTTAATTGGAAACTTTCAATTAAAATTTAATTAAAATGTAGAATTGGACCAACTGGACCAGGTCTAAATAGGTTCAATTCAGATTGACTAATTAAATTTTTGTATTATAAAAATATTTTATAGTATCCTGAGAGTATCTCTGCAGGTCAAAAAAAATTTGCTATATTACTTAAGTATTTTATTAAAATTAACTAGAAATAAGATCCGGATATCCACTAGTTTAACTTTATAATAAAAGTATTATAAAAATCTAGATATCTGAATATTCAAATTTTAAATAAAAAAATAAATAATAGATCATATCTAAAATTAATTTTGATTAGATAGCAAAGGAATTATAAAAATAAAAGTTTTAATAGATAGCATTTTACCTAAAAATTTTATTGCGTTAAGTAATTAAAATAAGTTTATTTAGAATTTATTATATAATATAAAAAATTAAAAAAATTCATTTTATAATTATAAATACTGTAATTTCATTGGGTAATATATATTTTATGTGATAATTTTTTTAAATAAAATTTATTGAACTAACATTCTATTTAAATTTATTTGGATCAATTCGAATAATTCAAATAAGCTTCTTTCAATTAGTTTATAAGTTTATTATTTTGACTATACAACCTTGTTAGCAAAAGTAATCTTTGTAATTTTTTTTATATAATTACTTTTTTTTTTGGATATATAGACAGTTATTGCTTTTTTTAAAAAAAATATTTTAAAAGCAAGATTTTTAACAACCTTCTGTAATATTTATGAGCTTGGCTATAAATTTATATTTGTTGTTTTTTTATAATTTTCTTTATCTTCAAATACTCGTATTTTTTTTTAACTTAGACAGTTATACTAGTAATAATATTTATTAAAGCCTAGTTTTGTGTAAAATATATAACTAAGATAATAGATTATAACAATAAATCTGTTGCTCTAATATTCTGCAATTGCTTTAACAAAACCAAAGTTAACTGAATATTACTGATAACTTGTTGTATTAGAGAAATATAATCATTTAAGATAATACCTGAGAGTTCATCCAACTATTGTCTTATAATAAGATATTGTCAATTTAATAATATTTTCTTATAAAGAAATGAAAGAAAAAAACTATATAGAAAAATACAGAGTTATAAAAAAATATAATGAATATACAAACAAGAAAAAAGAAAAAAAGAAATAAACAAAAAACAATATAAGATTTTTTACTTACACCAGATAGTTATAATTATATATACTACTGAAATAGATTTTTAAAAAAATTCTATTTCATTTCTGTTAAAGCAAATTAAAATTTTTTATATATAAGAGCAAATCTAATTTATATAATTATGTTTTTTATAATTTTATCTCTTTAAAAATATATCAAAAAATTTGCTTTTTAAGTAAAATAGATTAAAAACAATTTTATATTTAAATTTTAATTTTGTATTTAAAATCTAAAATAATTTTATCAACATATATAGTTATAATTATAAGTCTGTATCAGGCTTATAAAAATTATCTAAACTAATCTTTATTTTTTTTTTCAGTGTTAAGGTGAGGTTTTGCCTCGTATCTTTTATTAGATGTTAAGTTTTTGCCTTATATGGCTACAAATAATCTTAAGAATACTGGCTTAGAC